AGCGGGAGTTAGGGCCGAAGACGAGTCGAATGGGAAGCTTGGAATACTTTACAACGCGGTCCGCTTCACGGGCCATTTTGTCGTTCACAAAAGGCAATGTAAGAGTCACCCTGTCTGGTGACCTATGTGGAACCTATGTTTTGAAATTCCCTTCGAAATATCCGTTGCTTGCAAAGATATTTTTTATCATTGCGTATCCCATTGTCGACAATGGGATTCTCCACGAGCAAAATGAAGGAGCTTATCGAAGTAGCATTGGGATGCGGCATTTTTTGCTTCAACAGGACGTTTTACGAGCAAAAACGAGGTCTGGAATGGGCAACCGTATAGCAGCTGTGCTTGCAGTCATCTTTTTGGATCACATCGAGAAGCCATCACTGACAAGTGGAATTATACACTACAAAAGCTATATTGATACTGCTTGTTATCACGATAACAGGGGAAGACTTTGTGAGAACCTTAGAGAGACAGAATTCACCCAATGCTAACATAGCTTATCCAATGAAAACCCAGGAGCGGATGGATTTTTATCGTTCCTCAATACAAAATTCTGTATATGGGAGGGCTACAAGAGACACCTTTGGTATAGGAAAAGGGCCTCTCCTCGCTGCATTCCAGGAGTACTCATCCAATTTATATGAAGGCGAATGTCGCACGGAATCTTAATAGAACGAAAGAAAAGATTGGGACACGAAGGGACCCATCCGTGGACGCAAAGATCAAAAATATCCTTGCAAGCAACGGATATTTTAAAGGAAATTTCAAAACATGGGTTTCACATAGGTCACCAGACGGGGTGACTCTCACATTGCCTTCTGTGAACGACAAATGGCACGTGAATTGAATCACGTAAAGAATTCCAAGCTTCCCATTCGACTCGTCTTCGGCCCTACCCCCCACTCAAGGACCTCCTTACTTGTTCCCGGATCTCTGAACATCGGTGTCACGGACAGTCATGTCGATACTGTTTATCTGAGAAGATCTAAGAACTTGAAGACACTGTGTATTCAGTCCTATGTAGAGGTTGTGGAGAAAAGTACGTAGGAGAGACTGGAAGACCGTTGAAATTTGTTTGGACAAACATAGAAGAGCATTGGCCAATCCCGTTGCCCACCCACACAGCGCATTCTCCAACGTCGTGCTCTTAAACATGAGAGAGAACCCTCCGTCCTTCGATGTGAGTGTTCTTCACAGACATCTGGTACGACCGCTAAAGAAAAAAAATCGTAGAAGCGCGAGAAAACTACCGCACTAAGCCGGAAATCAACGCAAGGGAGCAGCTACATAACTTTTTCAGGCTAATTGCGTGATAAATGTGACATCAGAGGACCTTGGTGCCTTAGAGCTGCTGAGCAGTTCTTCCCTCATTTATACCCACACGCCGCACCGTCAGGCTCACTTTTCCACCTCTCTCACGCTTGGTAGGTCTTAATGCTAATGTTGATGTATGTTGTAGCTGTAGGCCGGTAATGTACTGTAATTTGAACGTCTGATAACGGCGTTATTGCAGAAAGCTCACCAATAAAGAATGATGCAAGAGCTTAGAAATAATTTATTCCACAATTAGTATTTGACAAAAATTAGGAAAAGTCGAGAGAGAAAAAGTAATAACGTACATTTCATTATGGAAGCATTGCCTATCGAACAGCACAAATCATATTTAGGGAATTTCCCATCTCCTACACCAAATTTAATATGAAAAAAATCCCACTACTCATTGGCCATTGTCACAACTAAATAGTTGTGACAATGCTACACATTAATCTATGTCGCCTACATCACTGCATAACCGTGACCACTGTGGGCACTATCGCCGCTCCAATTCACTGATAGCATTTAGCCGCCGCGTGCGAATAAGTGAACGTTAAGAGCACACAAGGAGAGTGCAAGAAGCGTAGAGCACAGCGGAATTTTGGAACACTTGCCTATCAAAGCGCATACGCAAGTTGACCTGCCTTCTTTCAGCTGCAGGCAAGTATGCTAGAAAGACGGACAAAAAGAAGGTTACTCCCAAAGGCATGAAGATATCGCAGTCAGGGTCCAATACGTCGTCATTCTCGAAGGTGATAAGTTTCAACAAAAAGATAAATTTGCACACTTCTGAACACTTTATGTCCTCTCTAAGCCCAGACTTAGACATAAGACAGCGACCCTTATTTACATAGAGAAACGTTCTTATTTAAACAGAATCCTTATTTACTGTGTGCGCTATGCGTTTCTATGCAACGAAGGTATGCAAGTTGAGTGGAGAGCACTTTCTTCCTGAGAGTATCAAATTTCGGAGAATATTTACGAGCAATGAATCGAGTTATGATTACAGTCCGGATCCTGGCGGCGTGTCAGGGGCTGCGTCAGTCCTTAGTGGTTAGAAGTCATCCTTGTCAGGCCCCACAATAGGTGGATTACGGGTTGGCGTCAAAACCCAGCTCCACGACACGCATAGCATCCGCAGCGAACCAGACTGTATGCAAGCTTTATTGACATATTGTGCGTCAGCCAAACTAGGAGGCTTTGACGGTGAGAGAGGTATGCAGAAGTAGGACGACTGAGCGGCTAACTGGGAGGCTATTTAGGGTTCGCGTAAATTATAGAGGTATTTTTGGACCAACTCAGAGAACATAGCGGAGAATAGGGTAGGGTCTAGTGACATTTACAAACGTTACATGAACAGTAGCAAACAATTACATCACTAGGTTCATTCAGCTGTCAAATCCTGTAAACTCTTGTAGACTTACGAAATGGCGCCAGTGTAGTGGCAACACCATGAAAAATTGTGGTTCTAGAATTTCATAAGAATGTACCGCAAAGTCAATATCAACCCTTGGCACCAATTTTCTAGGTCTTTTTGCTTAAAAAATAAAAATTGAAATAAAAAATGATTTAAAGTATAAAAATTAAACAAAAAATTTAATTAATGTGAAATTTGTTTAGAATCGGACTACTCTGGTCTGATTTCGAACAGATCAATTTTTTAGCTTGGCAAAGTCCTAAATTCCTCCACGAGGAAATCAACGATCAGAGTTCCAGGCTTCTTTTATAAAGGTATACCCTCCAAGCATGGAAAGAAATAACAATTCGAAGCTGCACCCTATGGTTAATAGGAGAAGAATATTCGACCTGATTCTTTTTTCGCAAGATCCTCAAGGCAAATGCGGTCGTGATGCCATACAGCTCTGTGGGCTACGGCCATCAGTGACTAGAGGTAGCCCTTCAAAAACGTCTACTGTCTCGCGCTTAGCACAGTTTTAAATTTCAATTCTTCGCTGGTACGGCTGGTATCGACTACCTCAAGCTAAAGAGAAGTAGAACGTTGCCCTGTGGTGTGAAGGCTTTGAAGGGCATGCCTGAACCTTAGTTTGTTCAGTAGATACCACCTTTTTATATCGGGTTCTTTTTCGCTTTATTGTCACTTGTGTTTTATTTCATTTTATTTCAGCATTTTTTGCGTTAGTATAGCTAGAGTCTGTTGCACACAGTATTAGTCTGACGTTTCCCTACATCCACATGGGTTACCTCATCCTACTATATATAATTCGCTAAGCATGTCTGAGTGTGTGTATGCGTCCGTCTGTTTGTCACGAAATTCATAGCGTCGGTCCCAGTAGCAGTGAGACATTGGCTCCAAGAAGTGATGTAGATGGTGTGTCGGGAACACTATTGGTGGGTGACAGGAATGATATCAGTTGATAAGGTCCGATCAGAGGTGTTAGAAGAGGAGAGGTCACCGTATTCATAACAGCATCAGCAAGCTCTCGATTCTGAGATATGATATAGAGTACAGGGCAAGAACATTACTGGTGGGTGAAAAAAACTTTAAGCTGCTTCTAAGATAAAGGAGGCTAGAAAAGCGAGGTCATCGTACACAGCACAGGTCACAGCATCAGCGAGGCGTACCGTTTCAGCAAGCGATATAGAGGGTGAGATGGGGACATCAGGTCGGGTGACTGGAAGCGATAACTACTGATAGGGGCTGATAAAGTACGTTGCGGCCGTGGTAGCTGTTTAAGGTGATTTACGCTACCAAATCATAGTTTTTGTGATGACGGGTGTAGCAAGTAATCTTATCAATCGATACAAACGGATAAGGTACTATCTGCGCTACATTCATCCATTTCTTACCGCTTCAACACCGAGTATTGGAGGCTCAGTGTGTGAATCTTTCCTTCGATATCAAAGAATCGAGGTCGTCTACTGAAGTGTTCACTATTAGATGCGTGAAATGATGTCGAGCGGGGGCGGTGGAAACTTTCGCAAATCTGCCTGCAGTGGATGTTTTAGTAGGTGGCGTTCCCAATCAAACAAAATAAGGAGGAACCGAACAATCGGGACTGGTGACGTACTCTCGGTGGTAACATTCGGGCTTCCGTGCGACACACACTTCGACATTTACATGCAATGTGAAGTTCGCCTTTTTAGTGCCACCCATGACTCTGCAGTTATGCCTCTTCCGGGTGTTCAGGACTCATCCGAACTTATTCAACTTTACCCATTTTGATGTCGCAACTGCGATCTTTAATGGTATGGTGCAGCCTTCTCACGGTTGAAAGTCTGTAGTAAGCAAGAGAGACCAGATCTCGATAATGATGTTAAGCTTTCTTCAGCTCATTTTCCTACATTTTAGTGAAAAGGTGACTGCCACCGTTTTGGTCCCGCAGCCAGCGTGCTGGCTCAGTACCAAAGTCGAGCTGAACAAAGTGTTCTATTTAAGCGTGAGAAGTCGACAAGACAAGTAGCGCGTTTCGAGGTGATTAGGGCTGCGGCTGTCTGTGCGACGTATTGCCTGTCGGTTGTCATGCGTCTAGGGTGTCTAATGCGGGCGAAGACATGAAGAGTAGCCAGCTACAACAACCTTGCAGCTTGATTCTAGCGCACTTTAGAGAGCTGAATGTGATACAATTACAGCTATGAGCCTGCCCACCTAGCATGTGGTGGTGGACTATGCCTTATAGTTAGAGCTCCACAATCCAGTTTCAAATTTCCAACCTTGTTTATGACAGGAAATGAAGAAGGTCCGAAAGAAGGTATCAGAAGGAAAAACGGATTCGGGGATCACACTTGGAGGAACGAAGATGACACCAGAGCAAAGCAAACACTCTGGAAAGAAAAGCGTTGAATCGGGAAGCAAATCAGGCTCAGGCAAAGGGCATGAAAAAGGGAAACCGCTAATGCTACAGGTCCTTTTTCCTCATTTTGCAGATGAGAATGGCGCTTTACTCAGTGACACGTTTCGGTCTCATTCACTTTTGCTTTCTTCTTCGGTAGCTCAGTCACCACAATCATTCCTGGTTTGCAATAGGACCGTGCCTTTGAGGACGTATTTTCGAACTTTTCAAGTAGCATTGAGCTTCTTATACTCAGTTTGACAATACGCGAGGTCACTGAATTTGTACCATTTTAGCAGCTCACAGACACCAACATTTTTCCGCTAACAATGGCCGAGTTGGAACGACAGCAGGTTTGTTTACTGATTTGGATTTTTTTTCAAACTCTCTTTGTAGAGTGTATCATAAAAACTCGCAAGTTTAGGTGAAGGAATTTAACATGCACATAGACAAGCTAGCGATGAAGAAATCAAAATCGGGAAGTGTTCCATCGTCACTGATGTCAACGATGATTTGATTTTCATCCACCTATTCTAATGCGGCAAAGTTTTTGCAGGATGCAAAAGATATTCACATACCTGAATTCAATTCCAATTTCTGTGTAATCTCTCGTGTTAATTAAAAGTATAAACACCTTGTCGTCTATCCGTATGTGAACATATAATCGAACACCTTGGACACCCACGCACACGTTCTAGTTCCCTTCCTCCAACGATTTTCTTAATCTCCACAGTTTCTCAGGACCGACCCATGAAATTCTGCAGCATGCACAACCTATCTCAAGCACGTGCTTGGCACACAATAAGCTCATCTTATTAGCTGACCTCCTGCACACCGTGTTCATTTTTTGCTTTGGCCTGCTCTTGAATCGATTCACTCTGGTTTTGCAATTGACTGCCGGTCACGACGCGAAGTCTAGGACACTTGTTTGCCTCTTAACTCACCGCTGACTCGCCGACCTCAGTTCACGTTGTCTAGGGTGGTCTGGAACAGTTTTGCAAAGTTGGAATTTTGCTCTGCCCACTTCGGAGACCTGCCTATATCGTGTGTGTCTAACACTTCTCAGCCGTTGACGCCTTCGAAACCTCAATACACTTTTGTCTCCTTGTCTAGAGTGTTTTGAAACTGTTTTACGAAACTGAACTGGTCCCTTCAGTTCCTCCCACCTCTCAACCGGTGATCCCTTGTTTACCTAATTCACTACTTCTCAGTCTCTGAAAGATTCTGAAACGGAACTGTAATGTGAAATGAGCTGACGTTATCAACATATCACGCTTGAGGGCACGCTCCATCTTTTGCTTTTGGTAGGTGTCAACACATTACAGACATCCTCACTCTCTCCAGATTTTCCTCTTCTCCATGAACTTTTTGCGACCTCTAAACTCTCTCAAAAAGCCGTCACTGCAGTTCGTGGGGAGCAGCGCCCATCTCATGTACTCCACGCCTACTACGGGTGCGTCTTCCCCAATTAGTTTGTCATCCCCCTGTCATCCTTTGTCCACTGTTTCTCGTCTGTGGGCCGCTCTGGGACCAAAACGTGGATTTTTGCTCGCGATGTCGTCAAATTTCGGCTCCGCCCGCTAGGCTGGCGTAAGTCATGTGCCTCTTTGAATTTTGTCCCATGCCCTACACATCGCAACCTTGACACGTCCACTCCGTGTTGCACTTCAGATAGAAACGGATTATGTTACAAACAAACAATCCTTTTTGTACAAAACCAAACCAACAAACAAACCTTTTTGTCGCCTGCGACGCCCGCGGACGGTTGGTTCTCTTTGGGCTCTCTTAACAGCAAGCGTGAGTTTTTCTTACTTCTTATCTATTCTTGCTCTACGTTGCTTACTTTTCCAAGCCATCAGTTTGTGCTGTCCACAAAGGTGTGTTCGTTTTCATTGAGTTGCTATTTTCGTGTTTTTTAACTGTTTTTATATAATTTCGCAATCCTTGTTGAATAATTAGTACTGTATCGCATGCCCGTTTGCTAAATTGATTATCTGGTCACAATCGATTTTCGTTTCACTATGCCTCAGCTAGCTCCGCGCCACAATAATAAGCGTAAGGACTCTATTGAGGAACCGTTAGGAAGATCTTCCGCCAAGCGACCAGACCTGGAAGTAGAGAGTGATGAATCAACATAATCACTCCAAAATGTCTACAAAAGAATTCTGAGCGCTATTCTAGAGCGCAATAGTGGCCAGAACCATTGACCGAAGCGAGAGGGTATGAAAACCCTATGTTTTCGAAGTCCACAATCAGGAAAAGAGCCAATCACGAAACTTTTATGGACGCCAAGCGCGGAAGGTTGATGGCACAAGCAGTCGATCGCCATTTACCGTGTAAGTTCAAAATTAAGATCGTGTGAGTGTGAGCAGACGGCTTGAGGCTTGTAAGCAGACGGCGCGAGATGTTTTCTTTCTTTTTTCGATTAGTAGATGTCAAACTAATTGATTTTTTTACGGATTGCGCGGCAGACAGCCTATTTAGCGTCGCAGCGAAGCACTCGGGAAAAAAAACTTATTCTGGTTTTCCGTTCCGTTCGTATTTGGAGGCTGAATATTCACCTCCTGTGTTTTCATCGTGGTACTTTTGTTTTCTGCTATCTCACTGTCTCTTTCTCTGAGCAGTTTCTTTTTGTTGTGTTTACATGTAATCAACTCCGCCATCCCCTCTCTCTTTGAGGAATTTTTTCATTCACCTGCAATAAACTGTTGCTGTTGTCACATTTTGCGAACTATCGAGCACTAGTGGAACAGCGGGTAAGCACCGCTAGCGTACTTGAGTCTGTTTTTTTGTGACAGAATCCTTACCCACCAAACTACGATATCGGGACAAGTTCAGGCCCGACGTCAATAAAACCGCTCCCGAAACAAAGCCTCTGCACGACCCCCTTCCAACGATGTTAGATTTAGAGTTCATTGCTCCCGTTCTAGCCCCTACACGATGGAACTAATATGCTGTTGCGGGATTTCACAATCCTTTCTAACACTTTTTGCCACGCATAGCGAATTTTCCTGACCCCCAAATTACGTGCTGGAACCACGGCCCCTCTCTTGCTGCGACACGCGCTATGACTTCAGAAACGCCCGTTCCTCAGCGCTCTTTGTCAGCCATTATCAGTCGATATCACCTAGTGTTCCACCAGGGTCAGTGTGAAGGAATCCTCAAGGAAGTCGTACGCACACTTTCGCGTGCATCGCACGGAGCGCTAAAAAGCTTACTAAAAACAAGATGTCTTCATTCTAAGCCTTTAATTGGCCCTCTTCTTGACTGCACCTACCTCCCGAGAAATATCTGTCTTTTGAAGAAGAAGGTGCCTTCACCCATCCTCCGCTCGACTGTATACTACTTCTTGGAACCAACAACCTACTGTCGCTGAGACGACCACTACTTTTCGTGTCAAAAAGGCAGACAGATAGACAGAAACACACATCAGTCATCTACCCATCACGTGCACTCAACCACACTCACAAAAAACGCATATATATTCGAAATCCCTGAGATGTGGTAGGCGTGGCTCGGTACTTCAACTAAAGTGGCAGTGGCTGTGCTTTTGGAGGACATTAACATTTTGAGACACAGTTGTGTCGTGTCTCCGTTCAACATTGAACAAGGGGACAGTTGTCTCATACTAAAATATCCCGCAAGTAAGCAGCTCTGTGTCATGTTTGATGGAGGTTATTTGTCTCATATTGTCCACGGCGATCACACCCATCCATCCACACAGTACGCGTACATCCATAGACATACTCAGCCACAAACACACACCCATACAACTTCATCAAACGTATACAGGGGGAGGGCGAAAAAAGACACTTTTCCTCCTTGACTTCCAAAGCGATAGAAGTTACACTGTATACTCTTGATTGGACGTTTTCTCCATCATGTTCAACAATACATTACATTCTATCATGACACTCAGCCACAGCCTTCTGGGCGAGCGCCATCGAGACATTCTGCCACGCGACCGTGATTCGGTGCCTAAGTTCAACGAGTTGATTTCTCCGCTACTGTAGACCCACCCGGTTGAGTACCTCTCGGACCCGCTAACTGAGGGGGTTTAGGCCAGGTGACACACTCGGAAATTCCGTCTTTTTTAGGTTCTCAACGGCCTTCGATTCCAAGTAAGCGAGAGTTTTTCCAACGCCCTTCGATTCCACGTGCTGGTGCCCGATAGTTATGTATATTGTGAAAAAGTATGATGGTTACGAACCACTCGTCAATGTACTCGACCACGACAGGGTAACAATTTATTACGACAACGCAATACTACTGAGGAATATAGATAAAAAAAACAGCTCCTGGATATTCACGAAAAATGTACACAGAGAAAAAGGGAGAATGGGCAAAATACTTTAAGCGCACACGCAGTGGTAGAGCAAGTCGTTGTCCCCGAGGAAATCAATTCTCCACGCAGAGCGAACGATGAGCTAGAAAGAATAGGTGCTTAACCTTTCAACTGCGGCGACGTCCGGAATGTTGTCGTGGCTCTAGAACAGAAGTAGTAATCGAGAATGGGGAAAGGCGTGAGCAACGCTGTTGGAGTAGTCGGTCGAAGCAGACAAGAAAACTCTGCACTAGTTTTTCGCGCAACGAATCCTTATATAGTCCGAAAGCCCGCCAAACTGCTTGCTCGCGCCCTTTCCTCGTAGGCGTATTGATCGCCACCGCAATCGACAGATTAGCACCCGTCATGCATACAAGAGCGCTCCTTCCTCACACGATCCTGTAACATATGAATTTTCCAAGATGGTACAGGCGACAATATGAGAGGCAGGATTATTTTCCTTGAATAGTCAACGTAACCGTAGCGCATTCCGGAAGAAAATACCGGTCATCCATTCCAGGAACTTCCGATTTATACCATCAACACACTCTGACGACTGCCATGAACATGAGATCCTGGACCGTAGCGACGTTGTCGGAGCTGCTCGATGTTGGAGATTTTCCAGATCATGAGTGCTGACTCCAGGAAGCTGCCCATGCGTGACTCGATACAGGAAGTTTTGTAGCTGTTCGAAGCTGATGTGAATTTCGTAAGGCCTTCTCCAGTCAGGCTGCAATTGCAGATGGCATCATATTTTGTATATACAGGGGGCCAAAAAGTCATTCGCGCCGAGTCACATATGAGCGAAGTTTTCGCGCAGCCCATACGAGGAAGTGGATATGAGTACCATGGCGAGATTAACCCGAGATCTTCCTCTATAAGCAGGAGCCGGCTGCCGCCATTCACACTTCATGTATACCAAAAATATGAAGTCATCTCCAGTCTGCGGCCTGAGGGAGAACGCCTTGGACATTCACGTGGCCTCCAAACAGCTGCCGGAAACTTCTTGAATGAATCACCCATGGATGGCTACCTGGAGACCAGTACCCTTGATCTGCAAGACCTCAAACATCGGAGCAGCTACGCGCCAACGTCGCTACGCGTCCAGGACATCATCTTCACCCCATTCACCAAGGTCCGTTGAATGGTGTGGACCGACCGTACCTGAATGGGAAGACCATCTTTCTTTGTAG